ATTATTATTATTATTATTATTATTATCTGGCTGCTTCTTGCTCCTCGTGGCCCAACTGAGGGCTTCTGGGAATAGGGGGCGGGGTTTCTTGCATGTGCCCGCCCCCTGGGCTCCTTACTGCTCCGCTCCTGTGCGCTCCCACAGGAAATGACCCCTGGTTGTACGTAGTTTGCTGCTAAGTCAAAACTTGAGCAGAGCAAGAGAGGAGGAGAGAAGGTGCGTCTAAAGCTTCCTTACGAATCAGTTCACCACATTTCCCCTGGCTCTACTCTGCCTGTTCTTATTGCGTTCATCTCCTGCAGGAAATGACCCCTGGTTGTACGTAGTTTGCTGCTAAGTCAAAACTTGAGCAGAGCAAGAGAGGAGGAGAGAAGGTGCGTCTAAAGCTTCCTTACGAATCAGTTCACCACATTTCCCCTGGCTCTACTCTGCCTGTTCTTATTGCGTTCATCTCCTGCAGGCTGCCTGGCCAGGACAGGGTCCCCAACTGGGCAAAGTGTTTCCCACAAACAAGCAAGCACCACTGGATCGAAGATCTTGCAAGCCGGCCTGGCAAGAGAGGCCCACCTCAGAATCTGCAAGCAGTGTGGAACTATTCACCAGGGACAAGCAGAGGCCTGGAAATATAGGAGGAGGAGGAGGAGGCCCAGTTTGGAGGGGCCCCCCCTCCACGATGCTCTGCCTTCTCAGGGGCTTGGAGGCACTCAGCTGTTCTCAACCCCCAGGAGCATTTTCACTCTTGGTCTTGGGTTGTTGTTTTTTGTCAATTCCCCCCCCCTTTTTCCTTCATTTGCAAAGTCACCCTTTTCTGCGGCATCCCCTGAGGACGTGGAGGCAGCCCTGCCTTGACTGTGAGCGGCCTTGTTTTGGTGCCTCTGTGACCAAAAGGGAGACCAACCTCTTCCCCATCAGATGCGGACAATTCATGTCCTTCATAAAGCAGACCAATGGCAGGCAGGGCCGTGTCTCTCTCCCTCTTAGGAGGCAATTTAGAGATCGAGAACAGTGACGCCAAAACAGCTACAGGGAGAATGTTGAACTCCTGGACGTGAAAGCTGATCTCACCTGCCGCGGGAGGCCTGAGAGAACCAGCCCGGCTGTTTAAGGCCTGGTCAGTTACTCATAGTACAATTATTTCGTTTCTAGGACACTTACAATGTTCCCTCTAAGCCGTGGAGTCTCATGAGCAAAAATTCTACTCTGTGAGCTACTAGCATTAAAGTTGTGAGCGAGCAATTTGGCTGCTGCAGAAATTAGTTTGCTCTGGAGCCCTCCTTCCTGAGCTAAGATAAAAATGTCTGAGCCAGAGGCTAAAAAACTGTGAGCTAGCTCACACTCACTCAGCTTAGAGGGAACACTGCTTACAGTCCCTGGGCAAAGTACCTCAAGCCACCATCTTGCCCTCTGGCAGCATGAACACACACCCCCCCCAAATACCAGGCCAGGGCAAGACACGGGGGAGGGGGGGAGCGGAGGGAAAAGATTGGGAAGCCGGATCTGAACACATTTCAGAACCGGGCCGTCCTCCCTTCCTGGGAGTTATTTCAGTCAAGACACAGGGGCAAGAGGCAGAACTGCCATGCTGCCTACTTGAGGAACAAACTCTTGGCAGGCACGGAAACAGGCTACTAACTGTTGCCCGGATTTCAATTAACGCCACACAGGAACTCAAACACCAGCCAGCAGTGGGTTCTCCATCCAAGCTGGAAGGGCTCTGCCGTGCTCGACAGACCGCAGTCTCCAAAGCGATGCCCGTGGAGCGCAGGACCATCGTGGAACCCCACCCACCCCAAAAGGGAAACCCGATGTTAAGAGCCGAAAGGAAATCGCTCACCTGGACTCCCCGAGGGGCCCTGCAGCTGGGACTTCCGTGTGCCAGGAACGCAAACACTCTGGAGGCGCTGCTGACCTTTATCCTGGCGATTAACTTCCCGACCCAAAGCAAACAGCACAAAGAAGACAGCGAAGGAAAGGAAAGGAAGAGAGTTTCCTTAGCGGCAGGACTCCCATCCTCCCTGGCCCCAGGCAGTGTTCCCTCTAAGCTGAGTGTGAGCCAGCTCACAGTTTTTCAGCCTCTGGCTCACACATTTTTGTCTCTGCTCAGGAAGGAGGGCTCCAGAGCACACTGATTTATGCAGCAGCCAAATCTCCTGCTCACAACTTTAATGCCGGCAGCTCACAGAGTAGAATTTCTGCTCACAGGGATCCATAGCTTAGAGGGATCATTGGCCCCAGCCCCACCCAGCTGGCTCCCCCGCGCAAGCCAGCCGGTCTTGCAGCTGGAGCATCAGCCAGGGGGGCAAGACCCCCCCCCCCCCAAGGTGTATGGCTCCAGACCTGAATGCATTCTCCCCAAACACCCAAACAAAACTGGGCACCAGGAAAAGCTGAATTCGGCAGACTGGCGAAGGTGATGCCAAACAGAGCAGCCACGCATAGGTTCCTTATTTGACCTAAGGAAAGTAGCCTCCTTCACACCCTGGGAATCACTCTGCCTCTCACATGCCCCCTAAACCCACCCTCCAAATCTGTACTGGCCAGGGAAGTGCCCACACACCCTTCAGTGCAAGGAAGTGGGTTTACGGGATGCTCCATTTAGCACCCAAACAACAACAGCCGCAGCTGAGGACTGGGCTGCCAAAGGGTCCAGTGTTCCCTCTAAGCTGAGTTAGTGTGAGCTAGCTTACAGTTTTTTAGCCTTCGGCCCACACGGTTTTGTCTTCGCTCCAGAGCAAACTCATTGATGAAGCAGCCAAATCGCTTGCTCACAACTCTAATTCCACTAGCTCACAAAGTAGGATTCTTGCTCACAAGACTCCACAGCTTAGAGGAAACATTGCCGAAGACTCTTCTGCTGACCTTTGTTTGCAGCCCCAACCCCACCTCAGAGCTCCCAGGAGGAGGCATCATCCATCTCCAGCCCTGAAGCGTAGCAGCAAGGTAAACATCTGCAGGTTGCAGCCAGTGTTCCCTCTAAGCTGAGTTAGTGTGAGCTAGCTCATGGTTTCTTAGCCTCCGGCTCACCCATTTTTGTCTTAGCTCAGGAAGGAGGGCTCCAGAGCAAACTGATTTATGCAGCAGCCAAACCGCCTGCTCACAACTTTAATGCCAGTAGCTCACAAAGTAGAATTTTTGCTCACAAGACTCCACAGCTTAGAGCAGTGGTGGCGAACCTCTGGCACGGGTGCCAGAGGTGGCACTCAGAGGCCTCTCTGTGGGCACGTGTGCCATTGCCCCAGCCAGGCCCAGACCATCATTAAAGTGTTGAATTCTCTGCCAAATAATTTTAAGTCAATAAAAGCATTTGGGATTGCTTCCCTTCCTTTGTTTGGATCATCTTAAGTTAATGTATGGGTTGTTTTTTCTAAACTAAAACCTCAGTATTCAGGTTAAATGGCCGTGTTGGCACTTTGCAATAAATAAGTGGGTTTTGGGTCGCAGTTTGGGCACGCGGTCTCTAAAAGGTTCGCCACCACTGGCTTAGAGGGAACATTGGCAACTTACAGCCAGTCCTCCCCCTCTTCCCCAGGGGATCTGGCCTGAGTCGCTAGCAGTGAGTGGCCTCCTCCGAAGAATCGCCAGAGGAACGCCTGGCCACTTTTTGGGAAGAGGACTCCTCTCTCTCTCCCAAGAGGGGAAGAGCCACCGACGCCCCCCGCAGACCTGGCGCTGCTCTGCGCCCCGTGCGCTCCCCCGAGCCCCAAACACTCCGCGCTGCAGGGAGCGGAGGGCAGCATCGCAGGAGGAGCCCGGGGACCCTTGGGGGGGGAGGGGGATGCCCACTTACCTGGAGCCCCCCGAGCCAGCTCCTTCCCCCGAGCCCAAGGAGGGCCTCCAGTCCCCCGCCGGCGCCTCCGCCTCCGAGGAGAGGGAGTGTTCCTGCCTGCATTCCTGAGTTGGATAAAACTGAGCAGACGCCGAGCGGACAGGGGAGAGATTAGGGGGCGGGTGGTGGGGCAGGCAAGGGGGAGATCTCCTCCCCCTCCCACGAGCGAGCAGAAGAAGGCGCAGGCTGGGGGCCAGGGCAGCCCGCTCCAGGACTGCATAGTTCCCTCTAAGCTGAGTCGGTGTGAGCCAGCTCACAGATTTTTAGCCTCCGGCTCACCCATTTTTGTCTTGGCTCAGGAAGGATGGGACTCCAGAGTAAACTAA